AGTAGATAGTCCTCAAGAGTTTCATCTACGTTTAGTCACTCATAGTGTGCGTGTAGAACAGAATGGTTTAGATTACAGTTACGCACAAATTAATCCTTTTTGTTCATTCCCTTGTTTAGATGTTTAATGAGAACACAATTGAAATAATAGCGGTGAGCATATGTTTTCAAATGTTTAAGTGCTTAGAAGACTTTGTTAACTAGTTATGTGACAGTCTTCAGTAGTACAATTGATCGTTACATTTTTAATAGCGCAAATAAAAAACCTTACAGAAAGTCTTAAAAATTATGAAATGTATATTCAATTCAAAAATTACAGGTGTAAACATGACAAAAGAGATCGTCTAAATAAAATAAACCAGTTCCCTTTTGAATATATGTCCTTATGAAAGTCAAATAAATACAAAATGTATTCTGTATCATTCAGTGAATATAATAACAACTTATTTTCGAAATGTTATCTATCTAAAAATTGTACAATTTTTATGTAGTTTACACAACAGTCTTATTACAGCTAGACAACATTGAAAACCATCGAGTAATAGACATCTGTTTTAATCATGTCAAATAACTTCTCGGTAGCAAAAGCTCATAAATCTGGCAGAGGTTAAATTCAAATCATGAGGTCTCACAGAGAGCACATTACGTTTCTATCACTGAGTATAGACTCAATGATCCATATACATAAATCTCTTTAAATATTTATTATTTTCAAAAAGGGGGTTTTGTGGAGATTGTAGTAATATTTAATCGTTGAATCCATAAGTCGATTAAAACTAGACCACCATGGAAAACCTGGAAGCACTGAACAGCCGTTTCGTCCTGGTATGAGACTCCTCAGCGCTAACTTAACGTGTCACTTTATTTTTCAAAAGTCATTACTTTTCAATATGGAATTATTTTTCGTGATAACTAATAATTGATGCAAATTACTACTAAACTTTAATTATGACTGAATAAAACTATTTAATCAACGTGAAGAACTTACATTACAAAATTTTAATCTTGGATGTGATACTATTTTTGAAATGTATCAAGACTAAACCAAAACTTTGTTAATTGATTTCGCGAATAAAGTAAAGATATGGCTTCAACTGTCATATCGATCGAGTGAGTGCGTGTGTGCCCTGTTTAATATATGACGTGATGATCCCAACCAATCAGAGAACTATCAATTATCGATCAGAGCAATTATACACAAAAGCCGTATGAGCACTCTTGAGTACTTATCAGTCCTACTTTCTGCCTAGCCCAGCCAGTTAAATCCAGAACACCAATTACAGCCTCTGCAATATGAATCATTATTCTCAAACATACTGAGTTTATATACCACACAAACTGGCCACATCGTACCATTAAATAGAAAATAACATTTGTACAAGATTTGGCCAAATGTGGCTGTGAATAGGGGTAACAGTAATCAATAATCTGTGGATAACTCAACAATTGTAAATCGTATAATAATAGTCTATAGGTCAAAATAAAGCTGATAATAAGACGGACACAAATATGGATACTCTAGTTACTTAACAATTATACAATAGGAAATATGCATATCACATTGGTCCATAAATAGTCCTCAAAGTTACCATTCATAAATCTCCACGGGATACAACATTAACATACTAGTAAACTTTATGTTTATTAGACTATGAATTAAAATAAATGATCATTTGTCATTAGTCGGGATTTTGAAAATTTGCAATGAATTTAAATAGTCCTGAACATAGCTTTAGTTCATTTACATACTTCTAACAGTAGCAGTGATGATTGAAGTTGATTTCAGTGTTAAATGTTTTAACAAATTGGCGAACATTCAACATTCCTGTATTGTTTGCCATAAATTCATGTGTATGTGCTTACTAACTTTTATAAAGCGTTTGTAAATTATTATGATGCTGAATACTGAAAAACTCAAACAGAAATGACCTTTTATTACCTACTCATCTATTAGTTAAGTAAACGAGAAGGGTTTTCATTGTAACTACTACACTTATTACATAGCAGATGAAGAAAAGTCACAACTGCCAAACTGATTAAAAAACGTTTAAGATAGATGGCGAGTGCCAGATATCGACTACTGAAAAGTATTTATCAAATATATTTCTAAAGAATGACAATTCGAACGTATGTTAAAGAGAAACGTGTTGTAATATCGGTGATCAGAATTCCTAACTGTAATAAAGTTTACATTATTAAATAAAGTATTTATTTCATGTATCGTTACTTGTTGTCTAAACATCCTCTGTTCTCAGTAACTGGATCTTGGATAAGGTAAAATTACTAAGTCAGTAAAAATATTATTTACAGATTGTTGTTTACTGAGAGTTATCAAGTTAATCAGTTCCCCATAGGATGAACCTTGTACATACATAGATACATAATTTTTACCACAAAACCTTAATTAAAGTGTTATTTTAATCTTTAAAGTGTTCTAGCTAATCGTTAAAATACTATGTTGATTTTCATCTCAACCCAATATCATTAAAAATATTCGTTTCAAAAATATTGAGCGATGTGTATACTATAGTTACCGGTAATCCGGGTAATCTAAAACAATATAAGAGCATTGAAAGTGCATGCTTCTCAAAATGTTGCGAATCCTTATTTGATACTTTTCGGATTTAAAACGCTTATCTAATAATCTCAGGTGTGAACTTAGATGCACACTGTTGAGGAATCCCATCTTGGATTGAAACAGCTATCCAATACTTCGTAGTTTTCAGTGGTTGTTTAACTAGCTTTAATCTGTGTTGTTAACTATAAAAATGTTTGCCTGCGATAAAAAGATTGTTAGATCTTTTTATTCATCATGATATTTTTTAACAGATATGTACCCTCAGAAACATACTTATGCTTTTAGTTATTGTTTATTGAGTTGATTCTTGACACTTTTCATTAAGCAATGACTTAAATAATAATCGGTTACAAAAGATACAATTATGTAATTGGTCTTCAGTCAATAAGAATACATCCTAATTAATGGAATACTGATTAATTGATCGAATAAAAATAAAACAATATGATGGGTTGATGATTTCTCATGAGACTGACCACTTGTTGCTTTTACTCACTTCCTTCAACTTGATATGATCAAAAAGTGATTATACAATCACCATTCCACCGTTCTTCTTTGATTCAGTAAATCACTATCCTTTATACCACGGTACAGAACAAAATAAATATGGTTAATGTTCATAAAAGGTATAGATAATTAACAAACTTTAATGTCTACAGGCCACTAAACATCTAATGTGCCATATTTTGGCTGATTATGCATTCATTGTGACACCTTTATGAAATAACGTAGAAAATTTTCATGAAGTCATTTTTTAAATGTTGATATGTTTTACCGTCCTCGGATTTTTTCCGTTTTTCTCGCACATTATACATTTATGTAGCTTTGGTAATTTGGAATCAGATCAATGATGAAAAAAAGAATAAATATCCAGCTAATGGGACTTAGTGATGTAAACGACCTTCAAACGATACAGAATCTTCACAGAATAACTTTAGTGTTCACTAACGATTACATACGAGTCAACCTTCCCGAAGTTCTAATGGAGAACCACTACCTTCAAAGTCAATTAAGTTGGAAACGAGGCAGTTACCTTTACCAAGTTAACCACCATACAACTGCTCAATGGCTTTTAGTTACTATATTTACCAAGGAACTTGGAGATATCAAGTCATAATTGTGTATATTTAGAGAATCCTAAAATAAGATGAAACAAATGACCAATGTTTCCGGTCCTTAGAGTTTCGGTAAATAATAACTCTTCATTGTGAAAATTATGTTCAAATAACAAAGTAAGTATATGTGTCATTTATTGACTACCTTTGCTTACGATATAAATAAAGACTATAACTTTCTATTATATTCAAACTTGTGCTTATTGCTCCTTTTGAGAGTAAACTAATATGGTAATTCAAGAATATGTTATTTAGATTCTTCTTTGTATCAGCTCAGTTTTATTATTTTCTCAGTTTTTTCTATATATATGGATAATAAGTTACCGTAAAAATACAAATCACAAACTAACAGAAAAAGTAGAATTATAAAATCTTTCTTGATCTTGGCTCACCACCAGATATTTGCTGTAAGATCGCAAAGTTTTAACCTCAATTCTTTTAAATGCATTGTTAAAAGTGTACACTTTTAAGGAATCGCATACACGAATGAAATAGTTTTCCGGTTCTTCAGTGTTTTTTTTTTCTAACGATGCAATAAACATCACTATCCGAATATACGTATGGTGAAAAATTACCTAAACCATGTATTTACAGTAGATAGATTGTAGTTAGCGCCTATCAATCCGATATATCAAAATCCCAATGTTGATTTTCATATTAAAACTCAAATCCAGTATCTTTCAACTTGAAACGTCTAACAAAAACTAATTAAAAGTTATTCCTTAATTTCAATAATAAGATAACTTAAATCCTCACTAATAACCATTTGATTTATATAGTTATTATAAAATATTTAAAAGAATTTACCTGAATTGAATGAAATTTTTTCGAGAATTTCAAATAAATTTTGTAAATATCCAAGTTCATTTAAATAATTTGTCTAAAATTCAATTACATATTTAACATTATCATAATTAAACGTAATTAAACATAAATAAAACGAAACGGCCGTCCAGTGCTTCCAGGTTTTCGATGGTGGTCTAGCTTCAATTGACTCATGATTTCAACTTTGAAAAATACTGAAATCTCCACAAATCCCCTTCTAAATAAATAATATGTATATAAATTGATATGTCCCAGAATGAACATCAACTCTGTGATGCAGGTACATCTAGCTGATGAGTCCCAAATAGGATGAAACGCTCATCCTGGATTCCACTGTTAGCCACTATTCACCTTTGCTTATAATACTTGTGAATTAAGGCTATATCAAGGCAATACACACAGTATGTACATATGCCAATAAGAGACTGACAAGTTGCAGTCCTAAACATCAATGGGAAGATTCAAACAAACAATACCAAATGAATTTAAATTAATGTGTGTATATAAAATTTATCCCATTAAGAAATAATAATGATAAGAAGAAAACATAAAACATCCTTTTTGTATTTTAATTCATATTTATTAGATTATAAGGAAAAACACTTTTTTCCGAAAAAGAAAAATATGAACAAAGGTATAAATAACTAGATATAAGATAATTAAACTAACTTATTATAGATCTGTAAAAAGGAAAACGCTAAATGAACAGACATTTATTACATAACTTATAATGCAATGATACATTCAGTACAATTCAATGTTATTGATAACAATTAGATTAATAATCATTATCAATGAATAATTAAAATAACTTTATATAGTAATTGTCATTAGTTTTTTTTTGTCATTTAAACTTCTGGGGTATGATTATGAATATAAATTGTCTCATTGTTGATGATGTGTACACTACTACTATTACTACTACTACTACCACTAGTAACCATAATTCTTTTTACTACTATTAATATAATGATAACGACTGATCATTGTTTTCAATATTTGTAATTGTTACGTAATGAATAATTATCAAAGTATTATGTAATCAAATAAACAAATCAATAAACGGATTAATGAATAAATAAACTCTATACTTTACAAGTTAAATTATACTTAGCTAAGAGTAAGAAAAGGAAAAGACTAAGAGAAAACAAAGTTGACATGAAAGAAAAAAATGTAAATACAAATTAATAAGAAACCAATGAGAACAAGAAAGTTCTTATGAAAATATTAAAAAAAAATTAGTTGATAATCATTCCATTTACATACATACATACACCATAACCATGTTATACAATGAACGTATAATGTGATATTATGCATATTCTTTTTTTTCCCACAAAACAGAAGAGAAATCATTTTAACTCCATTCAGTTACTATATGGAAACAGTCTTTTGATGTAAACAATAATTTTATTCAATCATATTCATAATGTTTTTTTCTTTTTTTTTCAAAAAACAAAACCACCTGAGATTCACGTTCATGATACCGTAGAAACAAAGAATTTCCTGTTTATATTGAAGGATTAATAAACAGACTACTTTAAAAGTCTTACATAAATAAATTGTTTTCAATTAGTGATTAATTTGTATGTAGAACAGATTGAATAAAATGAGATAAAAATTGAATATTTATATTTGAATTAAACCAATCTGTTGATTCAATCTCATTCCAATAAGATGATAAATGCTCTGGAATAGTAAATTTTCGATTTGATAAAATTTGCATAAAATAAGCATGATGAAATAATTTTTCATCGTTAAATAAGCTGATTTCTTCATCAGTGATATTACTACTTAATTTAGGATTGATTACAGTAGTATTGTTGGAAAGGTTTGATAAAAAATGAGAATAAGACTCACGTGACAATAAAGGTGAAGGAAATAATGGTTTAACTACTTCCGAATTTTTCTTTTCTAATGGTGTGAACAATGATGATGAGGAAGAATGAGATAAAGAATTGGAGGGCAAGACTGAAGATGTTAGTAATGATGTTGTCTCATTGTCCTTCTTAGTTGAATTTAGGATGTGATCAATATTAAATGACAGTGAATTTCTTATGTATTCTTGATTATTTATATCTGAGTTGTTTTGTCGTTGAAACAGTGATTGGAATACATAGGGTATATTCGGATCAACTGAAGAAGGGGATAGAGGTCCACTAACTGATGATGACGATGCCGATGATGAAGACGTCAGAGGTATATTGGAATTATGAACAGAATATGGTGTACACATAGATATTGCACACGCTGATGGAATAGTAGTTTTGTTAATTAAAGCTAACATGTTTTCCGGTTTTTTCTCCAGATATTTATTATCTTGAACGCAGTTATCCACTATATAATCATCCTTCAAATCACTTTTGGTGGTGTAAACATTTGAAACATTCTCATTTAGTGATGAAGCATTACCGGATTTACCTGTCTTGGTAGTAGTATTTGTCTTGATTAAAATAGGTGCATTGCTAGCAAAGTTAGAATGACATGTGTTAGTGAGTGCATTACTATCTTTATCCACGATGACTTGAGGATATATGCTACTACATATCCTGCTATCCGTAGCGGTAGAAGTAGTAGTAGTCGCAGTTTGATTTAATAAATTAACGCGATAGTTATTTTGTCTTTTACTATTACAGGTGTCGATGAATTCGGAATACTTATAAAAACAAGCACTGCTACTACTGTCAAAACTTAAACGTTTATAACGTTTACGTCGTCGCAAAAAACTGCCATTATCAAACATATCTAAAGAATTTGGATCCAAAGTCCAGTAATTACCTTTGCCTGGATTACCAGGTTCACGTGGTATCTTCATAAAACAATCATTCAATGATAAATTATGTCTTATAGAATTTTGCCATGCTGGAAAACGTTCACGATAGTAAGGAAAATTCGACATAATAAAATCACATATTCCACCTAATGTTAAATGTTTATGTGGTGAATGTAGAATAGCCATTGTAATTAATGCAATGTATGAATAAGGTGGTTTTACTGAATGTAATCTTATTCCACGGTTGTGAAATTTGCTATAATTCATTATTGATGATTTTGTTGTCTTCCCTGACCATAATGACGAAGATGATGGTGATGATGATGGTAAAGCTCTATTAATTCGTGAATGTTTTACCTTTCTTATCCTATCTGCATTTGCTCTACGTGAATAGCTGCGACCATAATGATATCGATAACTATTGTTGTTATTAACTGTACTGCTATTTTTACTAATGGTACTGATTGTGCAACTGGTTACGGTACTGGTAAATGTAGGTAAGTGAGATATCGTTGGATCGAATAAACCATAGTTATCCAACATAGATTCAATAGGAATATCCTTTGAACTACTGAAAAAGTTGTGATTATTATGATGATCAATAGTAGCAGTAAACGTCGTATGAATATCTGGTTTCAAAGAACATAGCGAGTTATAATAATCTACATGTGTGTTATCCACAAGGTTATGCAATTGAGCACTATTATTGTTATTATTAGTATTAGTAGTAGTAGTATTATTGTTAGTAGTATCCATATTTGTATAAGGAGAAAATGTATTTATTCCAATCACATTTAAATTTATACATTCTCTATCCAATTTAACTTGCATTAAATATATATGTATTCACGTAGATGAAATAAATTATTTTCAATTGTTTGTTTTTCCTTTCCAGATAATCATATGCCTTACACATATATATTCATATATATACACACACACATCTAAATAACTAAAAGATACGAGTAGAAAATTGCTGTGGAATAACGTAGGAACAAATATTTATCCTACCAGTGAAAAACTTTCCAATTTTGGGCTTATTTCTGCCCTTAAACTGTGCAAATTTATCCATCTGATAGTTTTTATAGGCAGATACCAACTATATATCTCTCTCTTATGCAAGTTTTTATTTGGATATACCAATGGGACATCAGATATATGTGTGTTTACTAATATAACTAGATGATATATACACGCAAACAATTATTATGTTCATCATTATACCTTTATTATTTACCTTCTTTTTAATATTATTAGTTTTGTTTATATAAATTATAAAAACTTTACGGAAAATAATTTAATTTAGGATTAGTGATTGGGCCATTCAAACGACCAATAATTATTGTGCGCGCAATACAATGACGGGAATAATGATAGCCTATATTGTTTTTTTATTTTGTAATATTAATGATGATTATGTTTGAGTTGTTGAGATGACATTTAGTAACTGTTATGTTACATATATAGCTTATAGAGACTTGTATATTACACAGGGTAGATCAACATATTGGTGGTAGCATTGATAGTAGCGCAGATACATGATAAAATTAGAACTAATAATAATACTGCTATTAGTAATAATAGTAGTTTCAAGCTGAATACGTCAGTCTTTGTAGAAATCTATCCACGATATTTCGAAATCTGAGGTTGCCTTGTATTAGATGTCATATCATTTCTACCATATGAAATAACTTATTGTTTTTCATCTGACAACATGCTTCCACAAACGTGGTAGTTTTTTTTGAGACATTTTTACTTTAGTTTTTTGTGTAGTGTTTTCAGTTTTAAAATTGAGCATTTGGATACATTGTATTTTTTTACAGGTTTTAAGTTCATCTTGTAACATTAAATTATGTTATGAATGGAGCTAAATAATTAAAATGTCTTTTTCTCCATTGTTAAATATAATAAGGGGATACAATAAAATGACATCGGTAAAAGTTATGGACAAAACTCAAGGGGATATATGAAATCACTAAATAGAGGGGGAAATTTTAAGATGGACAGTTTATGAAGTAAATTTAAGACAACAATTGGTCATAAGCAAGGTAAAAATGAAGATACGACATACATTTTTGTACAAAGTTCAAATCTCATCTCACGGATAACTGGAGCTTCTGTTGTCTTCATAAACTGTATATGAAAAACTATTAGTTCTATAAAGAACAACTAAGTCAACATATGATTTAGTTGACTGAATGTAGTCAATTTAGTCGGTATTCAAGAATATAACTCCTAACCACTTTTCCATAGGATTTGTAGAATGAGGCCTTAAAATTTTATACACATGTGTATATATTATTGAAAAGATGACGGGTTGGACAATAGTAAAACTTTATCGACTTTTAAAATTTTGACTTGTATATAATGTTATGTAGTTGAAATCATGAGTCAGTTAAAGCTAGACCACCATGGAAAACCTGAAAGCACTGGACAGCCGTTTTGTCCTATTGTGGGAATCCTCAGTAGTGTACATCTACCATCCCACCTCAGGAGATTCGAACCCAGGACCTACCAATCTCGCGCGCGATCACCTAACCACTAGACCACTGAGCCGACATCCAATGGCGTTAATGTCTAACTTCAACCAATCCACGAAATTGAGCGACCCATTCACCACTGTCTTCAGTGAGTTGATATCTCACAACAGACCTGGTTGTATATAATGTACAAATTTAACCTTTATTTTCAGTAGAAATGTCTCGACATAATTGTCATTAAAAGTAAGGATATGTTTTTCAATTAAAAGAAGCCTGTATGAGAATGCTAGTGAAGATTAAAAGGACACAAAACAATTATTATTATTATTATTTTTAACTATGTAATAAATTCACAAACTTGTATGTGATTCAGTGAATTTACTGATATCACTTTTTCTTTTTTTTAAAAAATTTCACATCAGCAAACAGGACATATTTACAGATGACTGACAGTGCCACATCTTTTAGCGAAATACATTTTAGTTAATTAGTTTTTCGCTGTAATAGTTAATACTTTGATTAATTACTTACTTACGCCCGTTACCCCTCGTGGAGGAGCATAGGCCGCCCACCAGCATTCTCCATCCAACTTTGATAACTATCTTTTATTCACTTTTTTAAAATGTAATTACTTGATCTTTTAAATTACAATAGTTAATATACTTTAGGTGATATATCTAATGATAAAAACTTTTTAGCTATGATATTTAATTAAGTAGCTAGTCAATACTAACTTAAATACTGGAGATATATGTTGTATGTCACTATACAGTGATGTATGAGAAAAAAATCATGTCATTTAGGTAGAAAAAACGATAAACCTAATAATTTAAGGTAAAAGATGCATGTAAACAATTTAATTTGCAGATAGAAATCAACTTTAGAAGATGTTAGTTGTAATGACTAAAGTCTATTCTAGCTATACAAGTGCATATACTCTCTATACTATTGTCAACGTATAAGTACATATTATTCTGAATATTTATTTAGTTATATTACTTTTGATCTATAATGGTTTAGTTCAGCTAGGTTATTTTGAAATGTGATAATTTAAACTGACGAACAATAATCCAGGATTTTATATTGTTTCATTTAATCAGTATTTCACTACAACGGAATCAGTATTAATATAGAAGTGAAATTTATGAGACAGAATAACAACAATAACCCTAAAACACCTGATCAAACCATTATTACACTATGGAGTAAGCATTCTACTGAACGCGTACAAAATGAGTTGCTTCTAGCCAAAAAATAATTACACCCTATCTTCACCAACATGTAGAATATTCGAGGTATTTGACTGCCATCCCTTTCTTTGATATAACTTATAAGATTCAGTCGAATATTTCTAGAAGTCTACTCTTGACCGTACTATATATTGTGAAAAGTTGGTTTTGTCAAGATCTAAAGACAGAGATAAGTATTTAGTGTATTTTACTTCCTGTATACATAAAAATCGACTATAGATAAAGAATAGGATAGTAATACTCTTTAAAAAACAATATATTATTTTGAGTACGGGAATAGTTGAGGGTGGGACTACTTACTTACTTACTTACTTACGCCTGTTACTCCCAATGGAGCATAGGCCGCCAACCAGCTTTCTCCAACCCACTCTATCCTGGGCTTCCTTTTCTAGTTCTATCCAGTTCTTGTTCATTCTTCTCATGTCTGTCTCTATTTCTCGTAATGTATTCTTTGGTCTTCCTCTTCTCCGTTGATCTTCAGGATTCCATATGAAGGCTTGTCTTGTGACGCAATTAGCTGATTTCCTCAAGGTGTGCCCAATCCACTTCCAGCGCTTCTTCCTGATTTCTTCCTCTGCTGGAATCTGGTTTGTTGTCTCCCACAGTAACTTGTTGCTGATAGTGTCTGGTCAACGGATCTGAAGTATCTTGCGTAGACAACTGTTAATAAACACTTGTATCTTCTGGATAATGGCTTTCGTATTTCTCCACGTCTCCGCCCCATACAGTAGAACTGTCTTGACATTTGTATTGAAAATTCTAACCTTGGTGTTGGTTGACAATTGTTTTGAGCCCCAGATGTTTTTCAGTTGTAGGTATGCTGCTCTTGCTTTGCCGATCCGCACCCTCACATCTGCATCTGATCCACCGTGTTCATCAATGATGCTGCCCAGATATGTAAAGGTTTCCACATCCTCCAAAGCTTCTCCGTCAAGTGTAATTTGATTGGTGCATATTGTATTGTATCGGAGTCTTGCTTTTCCGTTTGTTTATATTGAGACCTACTGCTGCTACACTGGTCGTCTTCTCCTGCACTTGTTGTTGCGTTTGTGATAGAAGAGCCAGATCATCCGCGAAGTCTAAATCGTCAAGCTGCATCCTGCCTGTCTACTGTATCCCGTGCATTCCTCCAGATGTTGACGTCTTCATAATCCAGTCGATCACCAGGAGAAAGAGAAAGGGTGAGAGTAAGCAACTTTGCCTAACACCGGTCTTTACTTGAAACGAGTCGGTGAGTTGTCCTCCGTGGACGATTTGGCAGTTTAGTCCATCATAGGAGTTCCGTATGATATTGACTATCTTCTCAGGCACGCCGTAGTGTCGAAGAAGCCTCCATAGCGTCGTCCTGTCCACACTATCAAATGCCTTCTCGTAGTCGATGAAGTTGATGTAGAGTGGTGAATTCCATTCGATTGATTGTTCCACAATGATCCGCAGAGTTGCGATTTGGTCTGTACACGATCTATCCTTACGAAATCCAGTTTGTTGATCTCGAAGTTGGGCGTCCACGGAATCCTTCATCCTGTTTAACAATACTCTGTTGAAGACTTTTCCTGGTATTGAGATGAGAGTGATGCCCCTGTAGTTGTCGCACTTGCTCAGATCGACTTTCTTTGGTATCTTGATCAGAAGTCCTTCTTTCCAGTCTGTTGGTACTTGTTCTTCATCCCAAATCTTACTAAAGAGGATGTGGAGTATCTTGGCAGTTGCTGTTACATTTGCTTTCAGTGCCTCTGCCGGGATGTTGTCTGGTCCCGCTGCTTTGCCACTCTTGACTTGTCTAATGGCCATGCTGATCTCTTCAATTGTTGGTGGGCCAATGTCGATTGGGAGGTCCATGGGTGCTTCTTCGATGTTGGGTGGGTTCAGTGGAGCTGGTCGATTCAAGAGTTCTTTGAAATGTTCTACCCACCAGTTTCGTTGTTCTTCAGTGTCGGTGATTACTTTGCCTTCCTTGCTTTTCACTGGTCTTTCTGGTTTACGGTAATTTCCAGCAAGTTTCTTTGTCGTATCATACAGTTGTCTCATGTTTCCTTCTCTTGCAGCCTTTTCCGCTGTCATTGCTAAATCTTCCACATATTTAAGTTTGTCGGTTCTGATGCTCCTCTTCACTTGCTTGTTTGCCTCTGTGTATTCGGCTTGTGCCTTGGCTTTTTCCGCTCTTGTTCGGCTGATATTGATTGCTGCCTTCTTGTTCCTCCTTTCTTCAATCTTATCCAGTGTACCAACAGTGATCCATTCCTTGTGATGGTGCTTCTTTTGGCCCAGAACCTCTTGACACGTTGAAACAATTGCCTCCTTGATACCTTTCCAGTTGCTCTCCATGGTAGTCCCCTCTCCATTGAGTAGGTCATGAAAGGCCTCGAACTTGTTGCTGAGGGCTATGTTGAATTTGTTGAGTTTGTCAGCATCTCGAAGAAAGGCCGTATTAAACTTTTGTGATGTTGTCCGCCCCGTTGTCCACTGGTTCTTGAGTTTTAGTTTCATCTTGGCGACCAGCAGATGATGATCAGATGCTATATCAGCTCCTCTTCTGGTTCTCACATCCTCCATCGTCCT